GTTGAAAAAATGTGGCTCTCCAAAGAAATGTCAACCGTTGTACTGTTGATATTTGGCTCTGCTGACTAACGAGTTTGCCGACCACTGGCCTAGCTGGTTCAGCTCAGTGGACAGAGCGTCGGCCTATAGACCAAAGGGTCCCGGGTTTGATTGCGGTCAAGGGCACGTACAGGGGTTGCAGGATCCTCCCCACCTGGCCTTGGTCAGAGCGCGTGCAGGAGGCAACCAATCAATGTGTTTCTCTCACATCGATGTTTCTCTCTGTCTCTCCCTCTCTCTTCCACTCTCCCTGAAAATCAATGGAAAAATACACTCGGGTGAGGATTAGCAATAAATAAATAGATAAAGATGTGTTTTTAGAAAGAGAGTAAAGCGAATGTTGAGAACATTTCTGATTTATATCCCAAGGTTTGAGAATGTACTGCCTCTTAACTAGTGTGAACAGCCGGGAAGAGGTGCCGTAACATCTGGCGATGAGGAATGGCTCTCCTCTTTGGAATGGGCCTGGCTTTGATTCTTTTCATGCAATAGAAACTTTAGGATGTTGGTTTATAGAACACCGTTTCTTTGAAGTGCGTGGTCTGTTACATTTGAGAAACTCTGTGCTCCTCCTCAGTTAGTCGGAGGGCTCTCGAAGGCCGTCAGTTAAACCTCTGCCCAGTGGGTGTGGCTCAGTGGTTGAGCATCAGCTCCTGAACCAGGAGGTCACTGGTTTGATTCCCGGTCATGGCAAATATGTGGGTTGCTGACTGGTAGCCAATTGATGATTCTTTCTGTCAATGTTTCTGTATTTTATTGATTTTTTTTTTTAGAGAGAGAAAGGGAGCTGGAAAGAGAGAAACATCGATGAGAGAGAATCATTGATCAGCTGCCTCTTGCACACCCCCTACTGGGGATGTGCTCGCAACCAAGGTACATGCCCTTGACTGGAATCGAACCTGGGACCCTTCAGTCTGCAGGCCGACTCTCTATCCACTGAGCCAAACCGGTTAGGGCTGTGACCAGTTTTATATATTAAACCTGTCTCTGGAACTCATCGTGTGGGGTATGGGGTGTGGGCAGGGTTGGATTAAGAAGACTCCCAAGTTCCCATCGCACCAGCTGCCTGGAAGGCCACAGGCCTGTCCCCAACCTCCGCCCCTTTAGAACAGAGTGTTGGAGGGTAGGAGAGCAAACGGCACCCCCGCTGCCTCCGAGGGCAGTTCCCGGCTGCCCAGGTGCCCTGGCCACATGGAAACAGGAAGCCAAAAGGAGAAGGCTGCTCTAGGCACCGGCCTGAGAGGCAGGGCAGGCGCTGAGAGGCAGGGTGGGGCTTGTTCGGAGCTTCTGTGGCTCCGCGGCCCCACCCACGTGCAAACACACCAGCTGTCTCCTCTTATCAGCACCGAGCTGCTCCCCTGCCATTGGGGAAGAGCAGTGAGAACTTCCCTCTGACACTCCCCAGTGGGAAGGACCGGAGTCCCCTGTGGATGGATTGAGGATGGAACATAGAGGGACTTTCCCCTAGAGAGAACTGCAGAGACGTGGGGCGGGGGGGCGGGGGGTGATCGCGAGGGGCCCTGAGGTTCCCACCTGGGGCACCCAGGTGGATGGTGCCCTCCATTCAGCACGAGAGACCATCACATGAACGTCAGGTTAAGATGCTGCCGAAACCGGTGTGGCTCAGTGGATAGAGCATTGGCCTGCAGACTGAAAGGTCCCAGGTTTGATTCCAGTCGAGGGCATGGACCTTGGCTGTGGGCACATCCCCAGCAGGGGGTGTGCAAGAGGCAGCTGATGGATGATTCTCTCTCTTCGATGTTTCTAGCTCTCTCCCTTCCTCTCTATAAAAAAAATCAATAAAAAATTTAAAAAAAATAAAAAGCTAAGATGCTGACTAGACCACCATGGTTGGTCGTGGGGTTTCCTTCACCCCGCTGCAGTCTGATTTGTATTTCCGGGACTGGATCATGGGACTCAGTGACGTCAGGGATGGCAGGGTGTGGAGAGAAGAGAAGGGGTGAGCTTCTGCTTCGTGAAATTAGGCTTTTCTGGATACATAGTGACCAGATTCTAAAGGAAAGAGAAGGATAAGCACAGGTTATAGTTCAGAAGCTGCTGCCTGATGGTTCTGCCGGCTCAAAGGCCGACCTGCTCCATCTCTGAGGGCCTTCTCACTTTTCTTCTTTTAAAATTATTACTTTTCACTTTAAAAAAATATATATTTTATTTATTTTTTACAGAGAAAAAAAGAGGGATAAAGAATTAGAAACATAGATGAGAGAGGATCATTGATCAGCTGCCTCTTGCACACCCCCTACTGGGGATGTGACCGCAACCAAGGTCCATGCCCTTGACCGGAATCGAACCTGGGACCTTTCAGTCCGAAGGCTGACTCTCTATCCACTGAGCCAAACCCGCCTTGGCTCTTTTCACTTTTTATTTTTTTTAATTTAATTTTTATTTTTTTATAATTCTTTATTGTTTAAAGTATTGCATTGAATCATTCCCCTCCATTGACCTCTCCCCACTGTTCCCCTACCTTCCCGCACCCCCTGCCCCACCACTGACTATGTCCATGGGTTTTGCTTATATGCATACATACAAGTCCTTTGGTTGATCTCCCACCCCCACTACCCCTTACCTCTTCACCCTCATTTCCTCCCTTCTCCCAGAGGTTGTATGGTCTGTTCACTGCTTCTGTGTCTCAGGATCTATTTTCGTTCCTCAGTTTATGTTGTTCATTATATTCCACATATGAGTGAGGTCATGTGATATTTATCTCCAAGAAAGACTTTAATCCTCACCTAGGCATACTTTTCCATTGATGCTTAGAATAGGAAGGAAGGAAGGAAGGAAGGAAGGAAGGAAGGAAGGAAGGAAGGAAGGAAGGAAGGAAGGAAGGAGGGAGAGAGACAGAGAGAGAGAGAGAGAGAGAGAGAGAGAGAGAGAGAGAGAGACTGAGACTCATCGATAGGTTGCCTCCCGCACGGAGTGGGCATCAAGCCTGTAACAGAGGCACATGCGTCCGACAGGAATTGAACCCAGGACTCTTCAGTCTGGGGACTGACACTCTAGCCACTGAGCCAAACTGGCTAGGACGGGCCTTCTCATTTCTTTACCACCGTTTCCTCTTCTGTCTCCTGCGGTCTCTTCCAATCTGTCCTTCCTACCATTAAGCCTAAATAGTTAATGTTGAAGAAATGTCTCTCTTGGAAAATCTGTTTTCTTTTATTGACTCAGTTCAGATCAAGCAACGAGATAACTAGACTAGACACAGCTAATACCCAGGAAGCGAAACGTGTCATCAGAATGCTTCTCCTGGCAAGAGGAACATTTCACCGAGTCGTTAGGAGTTCATTAGCTCAGTGCCCACATTTCACCTGGGGCCCCAGCCTCGCCTGCATGTCACTCTTCTCCATAAGGATCCCAGTTCCTCCTGAGTCCAACATGATGGCTTTTCTTTTCTTCTTTTTTTTTTTTTTTTTTTTTAAGATATATTTTTATTGATTTCAGAGGGGGGGGGGAGAGAAAACCATCAATGATGCGAGAGAATCATTGATCGGCTGCCTCCTGCACGACTCACACTGGAGATTGAGCCTACACCCTGGGCCTGTGCCCTGACTGGGAATCGAACCGTGACCTCCTGGTTCATAAGTTGACACTCAACCACTGAGCCACACGGGCCAGGCATCCTGGCTTCTTTTATAAAGAATCATTGAGGGTTTTTGAGCAAGAGGGTGATAGGATTGAGCATGTTTTATTTATTATTTATTTATTTATTTATTTTTAAATATATTTTATTGATTTTTGATTTTTTAAAAATATTTTTATTGATTTTGCACAGAGAGGAGGGGAGATAGAGAGCCAGAAACATCAATGAGAGAGAGCCATTGATCAGCTGCCTCCTGCACACCTCCCACTGGAGATATGCCCGCAACCAAGGTACACGCCCCTGCCCGGAACCGAACCCGGGTCCCTTCAGTCCCCAAGCTGACGCTCTATCCACTGAGCCAAACTGGTCTCGGCAGGATTGAGCATGTTTTAGAAGACTATTCTTTGGGTGTAGTGACTAAATTCACCGAAATTTCTCAACTGCATTCCGGGTGTGGGAGCAGGTGCAGGGGCGTGCTGGTTTCTCCACGCCTGCGGTGCACGCTCCGAGGCGTGGGAGGCCCACGGAAGAACAGGATCTGTGGAGCGGAGTCCCTGACCACATAGGGAAGTTCGCGTCTCTCCACAAGCTGATGGTTATTCGTAACAGGACTTCGTGACTTGAAAAAGGAAACATAGCAGCTTATGTCACCCAAACGCTAGGGATTCACACAGGAGCGTGGAGACTGTATCAGGGAAGTGCCACCACTGTGCAGATGTCATGTGCAGACAGGCTTTCACCCCCTCAATTGGGGGAACCCCTTCTTCTGTCCCTCGAAGCACAGAGAGGAAGGGAGAGAGAGAGCTAGAAACATCGATGAGAGAGAGACATCGACCAGCTGCCTTCTGCACACCTTGCACTGGGGATGTGCCCGCAACCAAGGTACATGCCCTTGACCGGAATCGAACCTGGGACCTTTCAGTCCACAGACCGACGCTCTATCCACTGAGCCACACCGGTTTCAGCTCGAAGCACTCTTTGGTCCTTTTTGTGCCACAAGCTCATCCCTGAACCATTCGCTGTCTCCAGGAGCTGGGAAGACCCGGCCTGGGTCCCTCCCTGGGGCAGGGAGGCCTGCGCAGAACGACAGTCTTACCAGGTTTGGGTGGGGGTGGACGGAGTTCTTAAAAACAGGAGCTCCTGCAGACATAAAAAATGAGAAACGCCCACGTGAATCACACGAAGACGGCCCTGGCGAGGCGTGGATGCACCAGGGGAAGTGATAAGAGCACCCCGAGGAAGAGCTGGTGGGTGGAGAGGGCAAGATAAGAGCCTCAACCTCCGCAGTGTAACTCCCCATAATTCCCCTCCTCGCTTCGGCCCCGCCTTTTCATTAAGTTTATTTTTCCTTAATTAAACATTCTACTTTGATGGTAGCACTTTCGGAGCCAATTACTCCTCACAGCCCCTGGATGAGAGTTGGCCAAGGTAAGCAAATCCTATTTTATTTTATTATTTTTAAAAAATATATATTTTATTGCTTTTTTACCGAGAGGAAGGGAGAGGTAGAGAGAGTTAGAAACATCGATGAGAGAGAATCATCGATCAGCTGCCTCCTGCACACCCCCTACTAGGGATGTGCCCGCAACCAAGATACAAGCCCTTGACCGGAATCGAACCCGGGACCCTTCAGTCCGCAGACCGACTCTATCTGCTAAGCCAAACCGGTTTTGGCCAAACCCTATTTTAAAGATAAAATGGGCATGTGTTCATTTTAGAAACTTTTGCTGTATTTTATCTGCCTTGAATACTATTCTAGAAATTTCTAATATAAAACGGAATCTTGTTTGCTCTTACGGAACTTAAATATGAAAGTCTAAAATGAAAAGCTATTTAAATATAGCTAGATCTTCACTTTTAAAACCAAATAGAAACATTTGGAATATATTTGCCAATAGAATACTCTGACTTATTATTCTTTTAAAAATATATATTTTTTTTATTGATTTTTTTACAGAGAGGAAGAGAGAAAGACAGAGAGCCAGATACATCGATGAGAGAGAAACATTGACCAGCTGCCTCCTACACACCCCCTACCGGGGATGTGCCCGCAACCAATGTATATGTCCTTGACTGGAATCGAACCTGGGACCCTTCAGTCCGCAGACTGACGCTCCACCACTGAGCCAAACCGGTTTCGGCGTGACTTATTATTCTTATGCTAAAAGCCGAGTGCATGAAATTCAAGCAATAAAAATACATTTTAAAAAAAGGTTTCAAAGGTGTTTGTTTGCCCCCACACCTTTTTATTTATTTATTTTTTAAATATATTTAATGATTTCAGAGTGGAAGGGAGAGGGAGAGGTAGAAACATAAATGATGAGAGAGAATCATTGGCTGCCTACTGCACGCCCCCCAGTGGGGATCAAGCTCGCATTCCCGGGCATGTGCCCTTGGCCGGAATCAAACCCGGAACCTTTCAGTCCACAGGTCAACACTCCATCCACTGAGACAAACCGGCTAGGGCTGCCCCACACCTTTTTAAACTCTCTATGCCCAGCTAGCTAGTCCCATTCTCACAGATTTGGGACAGTTTTATCATAGAAATCAGAAATCCTAGGAACCAGAGAGATCGTTCAGTCTGACCTCATTTTCTTTTTTTTTTCTTTTTTTAAATATATTTTATTGATTTTTTTCAGAGAGGAAGGGAGAAAGATAGCTAGAAACGTCGATGAGAGAGAAACATGAACCAGTTGCCTCTTGCACACCCGCTACCGGGGATGTGCCCGCAACCAAGGTACATGCCCTTGACCAGAATTAAACCCGGGACCTTTCAGTCCGCAGACCAACGCTCTACCCACTGAGCCAAACCGGTTTCAGCCTGACCTCATTTTCATCGTGTTGAGTAGCACGAGCATTTTGAAGGGATTTCCTCATGTTGCACAGCCAGGCGAGTGGAAACGTCACTCCTCAGACTCAATCTGAGTCTCTGCTTTGCTGCTTGTGGATTGAACTCTTCTTTTTTTTCTTTTTCTTTTTTTTATCTCTTTCTGGTTTTTAAAGGCAGCAGCGTCCTTGGAAGGAAGAAAAGCATCCTGGCTTCAGGCTGACATCTGCGCTGAACAGGTACACGCATTGCTTCCTAATAGAAATAACTTGGAAAGAAACCAATCCGTTGATAGCCCTGATGATCTTTATATAGTGCCTGGTTGCCAGAGTCTGTCCATAACTAGTTGTGTTTAGGTATATGAAGTGTTAAGAAAACAGACCTCAAACCCCTCACCATTTATTGAATGTCCACCGAGGACAGACTAATACAGTTAAGAACCTGAGGTCTGGGATGAGACTACAGCAAGCATGTCAAACTCAAAGGCTCACACGGGCCAAATAAATGAGGCATGTGGCCCTCGGCCCACGAGTTTGACATGCTTGGACTACAAGGTTTGCCTCTTTCTATGTGACCTTGAACAAGTTGTTTAATTCTGGCCTCGATTTGGAAAAGGGAGATAATAGTATTTGCATTAAGGGGCGGTTATGAAGATTAAATAAGAGAATACATGGGAATGGTATGCGTTCAATAAGCGTTAGAATTGTTAGGACCCTTGGGGGTGAATGTTATGTAGTCAATCCTGATAACGTCCTATAAGGACGAGGTTTTGTGTGTTGTTTTCTGTTCTAAGAGATTAATGACTTGCCCAAGGCCACTTAGCTAATGCGTAATGAAAGTGGGGTTTTAAAAAAAACAAAAACTTTTTATCGTGCAAAATTTTAAACATACGCAAAACAGAAAAGAGTTATATGAAGTCCCTCATGCTCATCTTCCTTAGCATTCTGCCATTTCTTCTCTAACCCCCATCCCATCCCATGGCTGGCTAGATATAATCTTTTACTATAAATATATCTAACAGTATAAGGCTGGTAAGAACCTTTTACAACAAACAAAACCTAATCGCAGTTTCATCATTGCACTTCACAAATTAACAATAACTCATTAATATCATTGATACCAGCCCTTATTCAAATTTTTTCAGGGGACCCAATTCATGAATACTGCCCGATGAATCATTTAATAAAGCCAATTAGATCCTCAAAAGAGACAAACACAACATCTCCCAGTGGTCTCTCTGCATCTGATACTCTTTATTGAGTCTCTGTGGCTCGAAAGAAGCTGGATTTGAACCCAGGGCCCTCTGATCCAGAGCCCATGCCCTTTCTGTTGTAACACACCAGCTCCGACTGCCTCTCCCTGGTCTAGACACACAGCCACGGGCAGTGGGGCCAAGAGGCCATCACCGGAACAGGCCATAAAGACACATTTTAGGCTGATTGGAAGCCCACAAGTCCTCTTTATGGCAGACAGCTTGACCTGCATGCCACAACCATCATCTCTTGGAATCGAGGCTGTTTAGAAGTTGGAGCTGTCCGTGGAAATTCCAGAAATACGCTCTAGATCAGCGGTTCCTGAGTTTTTTGTCCTTTACCACCTTAGAAGCCACGGAGACCCTAGAGCAGTGGTCGGCAAACTCATTAGTCAACAGAGCCAAATATCAACAGGACAACGATAGACATGTCTTTGGAGAGCCACATTTTTTAAACGTAAACTTCTTCTAACGCCACTTCTTCCAATAGACTCGCCCAGGCCGTGGTATTTTGTGGAAGAGCCACAGTCAAGGTGCCAAAGAGCCGCAGGTGGCTCGAGAGCTGCAGTTTGCCGACCACTGCCCTAGACTGCCCTAGAGTGTCTGTCTGTGTCGGAGTATCTATGGGGATTTGTCTATTGATATTAAAAATTAAATTGAGAGATGTTTAAATGTTACTTACTCATGAATTTGAAAACAGCCAAGTAAAAATAACAAACCCATCGCATGTTAACGTCAATATTTCTTTTAAGAAACAAAATGCCATTTTCCAAAACAGAAAAGTGTATTGAGAAGCGTGGCATTGTTATCTCTTCCACGAATCCCTTTTCCCAAGTTGGGTCCTCTGCCGATGCGTTTAGTCGGCAGTGACTTCACACGCCACACGGCTTCTGCCACTCTGCACTGCGCTCACCAGGACCAGCGGAGGGGCAAAGGTCATTCAAGTATGAACTGCCCCAAAAGGGTCTGAGAGCCGACGCCCCGCATCCCAGGCCTTACTGACCCATTTCCCGGGCCTTATTGAAACAGCTCAGTAAGCTGTGCCAGCGGCTCCACGGTGTAAAGCTGTGTGAGCCCAAATGACAGTCACGTGGGTGTGGGCGACCTTCAGTGACTGGCACTCGCGTAAGGGACTTCAGGTAGGTCCCCACCCCTCACTGTGTGGATCATCGAAAAGCATCATCCTCACCTCCTCTCCCGCGGGTAACGTTCAGCAAAGACGACTGCGTTGTCGCGAAGGAAGAACGGATTTTCAGCCGCCCTCTCTCCTCCCCCCTCAGGACCAATTCTGATTCTGCTCTTCACACGAGTGCTCTAAGCACCAAGCCCCAGGACCCCTATGGAGGAGGGGGCCAGTCGGCCTGGCCGGCCGCATACATGGGTAAGACACACGGCCCTGCCCGCAGCGGCTCTGCTTCCGCCTGTCCCGGGGCATCTTGCCCGGCGCGTGCCCCCCCAGCCCGGTGGCCTCCCGAGAAGGAGCGGCCAAGGGGTGCGCGCTCAGCGGGTGAGCGGCGCCTACGGGTCACGCTTGGTTGCAGCCTCTTCCACGGCAGGTTCTCCCCTCAGCATCTCCGCCCACTTGCGGGCCCCTCTTCCCCCCTTTTCATTTCCTTTCTTCCCCTCCCACTCACTTTTTCATGTGGACTCCTCGTAGCTTTCTCCCCCGGTCTCTTCACTTCCGGCCTATATACTTCTCATCCAGTTTTACGTGATTTATCTGAAGGTCCTCTTTTCTCACCTAGGATCTGAGCAAGCTGAGAAATCAAATCAGAAGTGGCAGGGGAAACTAGATGTCTTTATCAGTGAGAAGTGGGCGCGGATTCTCTCTGGCTCCGTGCCCATCGTGACTGAACCCACTGCCCGGCAGCGCTGGCCCAGGCCGAGTGCCATGGTGGTGGTACGGGGGTCAGGCTGAAGGGCAGGCCGAGCAGAGAGGGCCCTGAGGGGGAGTGGGACTGCACTGGGGCTGGGCATCGCCTGCCCAGTTGTTCCCCATTCTGCCAGGTAGAGCATCGTTCTGCCTCTGGCCAGAGTGAGTGAAGCGGAGGAGAGAGCCCGATCGACAGGCGTGGCAAAGCCTTTTCCTGCCATCTGCTTCCAGAGCGAACTCACATCTGATCACTGTCTCCTGCGTACAGCCCTCCGTGCCCCCTCCGTCCGGGAGAGTCCCAGCCTCAGCTGGAATGACAGGAGCTCCAAGACCTTCTCTTCCCCTCCCCCCACTTCTCTCCTCACTCCCCAAGTCAGCGTGAGGACCCCATTGGGCTCTGCTAACGTTTCATTCTGTTCTCATCTCTTCCTCCCATCGCTCACTCCTGATCTACCCGATCAACACCCTCCGCTTTGTCATCATTTCCGTGGAGCCATTCTTGGCCTTCCTCTCTTTGCCAGAACTATCTGTGTCTTCTAACATCCCAGAGCTCCTGCGTGCGGGTGGCTCTCTCGGGACCTGTCACTCCTGTGTTCAGAGTCGGTTTCCTGGCATCTGAATGGTCTCGCCTCCCGCACCGGGCCTGGCGGAGGAGCCCTCAGCGCCCGGAGAGCAGAGACACCACAGTGGCCACGTGTGCAGAGCACTCGCTAGCCTCAGCCTGCACCTGCCGCAGGCTGGCTCGCCGAGACACAGCCCGGCCTGCCTCCCGGGGCTTATAACCTAGTCGGAACAGTGGCTCTGATCGCCCATCCCACATGCCAGTCTGTACTCCAGATCCACCCTTGTCCACACACAGGAATGACTGACTGTGCGTTTGGTCGGTCTTGAAACAGGCGCATCAATCTTCAGCCAAGCTTTGCTGGGTTCTTCACTCTTTAGACCATGTAAAGCCTTAATGGCCTGTTCCTTCTGAGGAGAACGTGGCTGGCCTTACTTTCTTGCACGCAGTAGGACAGGACTTCGTACTAACTGTCCCCTCGTGCAGTCAGAGGTGACCAAACTGTTGTTGCTTGTGAAGCGTAGGGTCTTTTAGGATCAGGAAGGCCATCCAGCCGAGTTTCCAGCCACGGGGACAGGAGAGGAAGACCGGTCATGTCGGACTGGGTGTGGGTTAGAGAAGCGGGCACCGGGGAGGCGGGGAGGTTAGCTCAGGATGGGCAGAGATGGGAAGATATAAACAAAGCCCAGCAGAAGCAGAGCCGGCGATCGGTGGGGGCCCTGTGCCTGCGGCAGGATCTTAGTCTCCCTGGATGGGAGGGAGCCAGACCCAGGGGTTTGTACCCGGGACCCCAAATGCAGAGCTGATCTCTGCCTCTGCCATTCCTTCCGGCAGAGTTGACTCCAGAAAGGGCTGACAGCCTAGAGAGCACAGGAAATCATAGGTAAATTAAGCAGGGCCTTTTGAGGCTGCGCGCAAGGAGAAAAGAAAATAACGAAAGAAAGTGCCGATGGAGGGAAGTGTTTATGCCCAGAGTGATGTGGCTTCAGAGGGACGAGGTGGGAAGTGTCGGGCGGTGGGAGGACGACGAGAAGCCAAATGAGTGGGGTTTTTTTAAAAATATATTTTTATTGATTTTTTACAGAGAGGAAGGGAGAGGGATAGAAAGTTAGAAATATCAATGAGAGAAACATCGATCAGCTGCCTCTTGCACACCCCCTACTGGGGATATGCCCGCAACCAAGGCACATGCCCTTGACCGGAATTGAACCCGGGACCCTTCAGTCCGCAGGCTGACGCTCTATCCATTGAGCCAAACTGGTTTCTACCCAAATGAGTGTTGATCCCAGCAGACAGGAAGAGCAGAGAGAGAGACATCCCAGAGCAGGCTTTCTGAGGTGACTTGAGAATCAGGGGGCACTCCTCAGCAGTTAAACATTGTGGGGCCGCGTAGCTGACGGCCCGGAGGGCGGGCTGCCCTCCAGCTCGAACCGCGTGGCCGCCCCTGCAAGTATCGCAGAAGTCAGAAACACATCCAAATATGGACGTGTTTACATGGGAAAGCCAGTGTGTTTAAAATATTAGCCAAGTCTCCAAGGAGGGGAATTATTTCTGGAGAATTCTATTTGCCGGTGGGAGCTATTTTAAATCGTTTCATGCATTTTCCCCCTGTAATTCATTAAAAGTTTTTCATTTTCTCTTCCTCTCGGACGTTAAAAATACCGACTCGCTTTGCAAAAAGGTATTTCTTATTATAGGAGCAACCAAATAAAGATTAAGCAAGTGATGGGAAAATGTAATTGGAGTCCAGAGTCGGGCTTCGTAGCAGAAGCAACATTAACTGCTCTGCCCCTGGGACCTTCCTGAGCATAATGATGTCGCTTCGATTAGTGTTCCCACTCATTGTTGTTATGAGTAATGAAATAGGAACATCCAATCACTCCATGTGCAGTAAACTTGGATACAGTAATGAGTGGTTAGTGTCCCAAGTAAACAACGCCATTCTTCTGATACACGTGTAGTCATTATCATGATGATTATTGTCATGACAGTTAGATGGAAGTGATTAGCCATTGGTATAACCTTCCCTTTTTGGCACAAGTCTTTGGTTTTAGCCTAGAGCAATTGGATATACTGTACTTGTCATGAGCAGTGTATTTTATGGATTAAAAACACTTTCTTCAGCCCGGCCGGTGTGGCTCACTGGTTGAGCACTGACGTATGTACCAAGAGGTTGCTGATTTAGTTCCCAGTCAGGGCACATGCCTGGGTTGTGGGCTCGATCGCCAATGGTAGGCGTGCAGGAGGCAGTCAGTCGATATTCTCTCATTGATCTTTCTCTCTCTCTCCCTCTCCCTTTCTCTCTTTCTTTAAAAAAAGAAAAAAAGAAAAGAAAACATATCTCTTTTAAAAGAACCCAAATGTTTTAAAAAAATACTTTATTTGCTTAGAATGTATTCAAAGTCAGATTTTAAAATTTCTGTGAATAGCTATCACATACACTTTTTAAGTTGACTGAGACGTGAGATAAATTATTTTCTTAGGTAACTTGACTCTTTGCAAGAAGTATGTGTATAACAACATACAGTATGGAGCTTCCCGTTGCTCCATTAGGTCCGTGTGGCCAGTGGGAAGCAGTTACCTGCCCTTCCTAGCAGGCGATGCATTTGGAAGAAGTTTAGATCCTTACTTTATTTTGTAAGCTGAATAGAGGTTCTCAGATTTTTAAAAATATATATTTTATTTATTTTATTTTATTTTATTAAAAATATATATTTTATTTTTTTTACAAAGAGGAAGGGAGAGGGAGAGAGAGTTAGAAACATCTATCAGCTGCCTCCTGCACACTCCATACTGGGTATGTATGTGCCAGCAACCAAGGTACATGCCCTTGAGCAGAATTGAACCTGGGACCCTTGAGTCCACAGGCCGACGCTCTATCCACTGAGCTAAACTGGTTAGAGCCTGGTTCTCAGATTTTGAAAATTGTTCTCTCAGGACAGCTAAAAGAGAAGAAAAGTAGATAGGAAGCAACTTTAGGCTTAAATGAACCATATCTGTCTTAATTTTAGCAGAAAGGCCCATGTATCTTAGCTGGACCTCCATCAGTGTATCAAAATGGATAGAATTTTATAAATTCAATTTCAAATCAGAAAGAGCGACAAATACATGACTAAAAGGAAAAGGAAAGTGCCATATAAATGTATCTGTTTTGCCAAAACCGGTTTGGCTCAGTGGATAGATCGTCGGCCTGCGGACTGAAAGGTCCCAGGTTCGATTCTGGTCAAGGGCAGGTGCATTGGTTGTGGGCACATCCCCAGTGGGGGGTGTGCAGGAGGCAGCTGATCAGTGTTTCTCTCTCATCGGTGTTTCTAGCTCTATCTCCCTTCCTCTCTGTAAAAAATCAATAAAATATATATTTAAAAAAATAATAATAAACGTATCTGTTTTCTTTCCCGCCAGGTTTCTGCGACGGTGAGAACAATGGACTCGGGGAAGGTACGGATTGGCCTGGCCACTGGGCTGGGCGGGATGCCGACGGCAGTTCATGTGACCTCCTTTCAACATGTGAGCTAATTGATGCCCGTGCTTCAGAACTTCCCACAATGCTGACAACTGCAGATTAGTCTGGTTGTCTGAGACGCTCTATGACCTTAGGGCTGCCCATGGCCAAGGCCACAAGAACGGAAGCGTGTGGTGTGATTGCGTCATCTGGTTCCCCATCATCCCAGTCACAGGGGCATGCAGGAAAGCAAAGGTTGTCATCACATGAAAATATTAATGACTCGGTCGCCCTGGCCAGTGTGGCTCAGTTGGTTGAGCATCTTCCCCTGTACCTAGAGGTTGCTGATATGTTTCTCTCTCATTGATGTTTCTAACTCTCTAACCCTCTATCTTCCTCTCTAAAAAAATCAATAAGATATATATATATTTTAAATGTATTTCTTTCAGAGAGGAAAGGAGAGGGAGAGAGAGAGAGAGAGAAATATCAGTGATGAGAGAGAATCATTAATTAGCTGCCTCCTGCATGCCTTCTACTGGGGATCCAGTCCACAGCCCAGGCATATGCCCTGACCAGGAATCAAACCATGACCTGCTGGTTCATAGGTCAATGCTCAACCACTGAGCCACACCGAATGGGCTGGTCCCTGTTTTAAGTGACTTCTTTATGGGGTTTGTTACCCCTGGGCCTCCTGTGTGGGTCTAACACAGACAGTCATGACATGACAGTCCCAAGTGGAGTGCATGTGCAGTTCGAGCAGTCACCAGTGTTTCTCTCAAAGATGATTTCTTTGGCTGGTGTCGGGATGGCTGCCATCTAACGCAGTGAATGTGCTTTTCCCACTTTAGCGATGTCTTTCCCGGGTTCGTTGAAAGAAGAGAATTTGTTGAACGTTCCCAAGCCACTGCCGAAGCAGCTGTGGGAGACCAAGGAGGTGGGTGAGCAGCTCGCACTGTGCTTGTTGTCACGGGGTGTTTGCTCTTCAGCATTCCCTGTACATCCTGCGGAGGAAAAATGAGGAAATGGGAAAAAGGAAGGTAATTTCTCTGGGGACCGAGATAGGAAGAACCCACTAGGGAATGATGGTTCAAGTAAGAATGATAATATTTTGTTGGTAAGTTAGTACAGTGATCTCTTGGCTTCCTAATTTGCATGTGAATTGACTCATTAAAAACACACCAAACTATTAATCCCCCATATCTTTTTTAAAAATATATTTTATTGATTTTTCACAGAGAGGAAGGGAGAGGGATAGAGAGTTAGAAACATTGATGAGAGAGAAACATCAATCAACTGCCTCCTGCACACCCCCCACTGGGGATGTGCCCGCAACCAAGGCACATGCCCTTGACCGGAATCGAACCCGAGACCCTTCAGTCCACAGGCAGATGCTCTATCCACTGAGCCAAACCGGTTTCAGCAGTCCCCCATATCTCATTTATATCACTAAACACACTGAAAGCTGGTTACAAGTCACAGGCAGACTTTTCTGTTTTGTGGCCAACACCCTCTACCAAGGGCCAGCTTCTGTCCACCACTGCTGCTTCGCCAGATGTCCCTTTTTTAAGTCAAGGGCACTTGACCTGAGTCCTCAGGGAGTCGGCAGACAAGTCATCTGTTTTATGATTTCCATGAGTATTTGTGTCCACTTGTGCTAGCTGCCCCCCCTTTCCCTATGCTCCCCCTGGAGGAGGGAGAGGTCCCACGGAACTGGGCTAGGCCCTCAGGGAAGCTGAGCTGCCCGGGAAAGAAAACAGTTCACCTCCCAGCCCTTAGCGAGGCCATTGCTCGTCGGGCCTCTGCCTGCCTCGCCTTCCTTCGCCCGGTGCCATTTCTCCTGCCACGTCCACGTTGGTCCTCTTCAGCAGTGGTGTGGGTCTGACAGGTCTTTTGTAAAAGCAAGGTGCGTTTGATGTTTCATCATTGCGGGGAGGGAGAAAAATGATTTAAAGTTCATCTCCTTGCCCTAGCCGGTGTGGCTCAGTGGATAGAACGTCAGCCTGTGGACCAAAGGGTCCCGGTTTCATTCCAGTCAAGGGCACGTACCTTGGCTGCAGGCTCCTCGCCCGCCCAAGCCCTGGACAGGCTCATGCAGGAGGCAACCAGCCCATGTGTTTCTCTCACATCAATGTTTCTCTGTCTTTCTCTCTTCTACTCTCTTTAAAAAATCAATGGAAAAATATCCTCCGGTGAGGATTAACAGATCAAAAAATAGTAATAAGCTCTTACATAAAACATTGGCCTTTCTGAAGGAAATACTTTTCATCTAGAAGATAAATTAATAAAACATCAAAGTAAGAAAATTTTAATGTTCTGCCTCCCTTGTGCCTGGAGAAGTCTAGTCAGCACTTAAAGGGCCGCTGAGTGAGGTGCTGCTAACTGCCTCTCACTTGCACGGACTCACAGATGCTTACAAGACACGTCTAGAAGCTTCGATTTGGCTCTTCAGTGAGTAAGCCCGGCTCTGTTTCTCCCCAGGTCCAGTCGCTGTCCGGGCGCCCTCGATCCTGTGATGTCGGCGGTGGCGGGTGAGTGATGCTATTTCTGTTCGTGGCTCGGGGATTGTCCCAGGGTGTCCCCTCTGCGAAACATCCCTCTTTACATGTCCATTGCAAGTCAACGGAATTTTCATAAAAACAACATCTTTTTAGTACTCAGTATTTCAGTTATTTAAAGTAGTTATAGCTGAAACTGGTGTGGCTCAGTGTATAGAGCGTCGGCCTGCGGACTGAAGGGTCCCAGGTTCGGTTCCAGTCAAGGGCATTTACCTTGGTTGTAAGCACATCCCCAGTAGGGAATGTGCAGGAGGCAGCTGATGGATGATTCTCCCTTATCGATGTTTCTAGTTCTCTATTCTTCTCCCTTCCTCTCTATAAAAAATCAATAAAATATGTTATTTTTAAAAAAGTAGTTATATTACATAACTGCAATAACAAGACTGTCATATGTTTGCGAATAACACAACTGACTCTTGGTAAACACACGACTTGATGCAGAAGCATGCAGACGTGGCGAGGAACCCGCCGGCTGTACACGGTGGGCACCTGGCCTCCCTTTTGACTGTTCAGAATGTCATAACTTGCCTCTCTGTCTCCAGGCTCTGCCTCTTGCACCCCGGCCTCCACTCCCCCCAGTCTGTTAGCCACACCGTCCTCAGGGTGACTGTGCCTCTCCCTGCTTCCCGCCTTCCACCAGCTTCTTGCCATCAGTGTGTAGCTGTCAGCCTCACATGCTCTCTGCCTGCTTCTGCAGGGCCGTCTCCCATCAGCACCCGCCCCTCTTCAACTTGACCTTCTTGCGGTGTCCGGGTTCCTGGGCACACAGTAGGGCTTCACGCCTTTCTGCTTTGCTCATACTGTGAACTTGCCTGGGACGCTTTTCCTGCATAAATTCACTCTTTGGCCTTCACACTGAACTTGGTTGCCCCAAGGGAGCCCCTCTCCAGACCTCCCTCCACCCTACGCTCTATCACTGCGCTAATGAACGGTATGGTATTGCAAGTTGTTTTCTGTTTGTTTACTTATCTGTTTACTCATTTATTTTAAGCAACTTCTTTCCCTTTGGGCTCTGTCTCCCTGCTTTGTCCAAGTCTCTGGAGGCCCCGCTATCGATATCTGGTACCGGGGACGTGCTCTGCTGATCATGTTGTGTTGAATGGAGTGTCCTCCATCGAATTCATCTCCCCCCGCCTCTTCCTGAAGCAGCCAGAGCTTCCCATTGGGTCTCCCTGCTGTCTTTCTGTTCCCTTAAGCCATTCTCCACACTGTGATTGAAAAACTATATCCTGGAAGGAATCTGGTTGATACAGAGAGAGAGAGAGAGAGTGTGTGTGTGTGTGTGTGTGTGTGTGTGTGTGTAGGAAAGATAGTTTATTTTTTTAAATATATTTTATTGATTTTTCACAGAGAGGAAGAGAGAGGAATAGATAGCTAGAAACATCGATGAGAGAGAATCATCGACCAGCTGCCTCCTGCACACCCCCTACTGGGGATGTGCCCGCAACCAAGGTACATGCCCTTGACCGGAATCGAACCTGGGACCTTTCAATCCGCAGACAGATGCTGTAACCACTGAGCCACACCGGTCTCGGCTGGATCTTTGCTTTTATTTGACGAGAGAAAGTATCAGACGTGTCCCGTTGCCGAAAGCCTGATGATTTTAGAAAGTAACAGTTATCTTTCCTTTTTCAGCGCTTTTCCACACAACAGTCCCAACATGGGCCTGTCCCCCTTCCTGGGGACCCTGAACACCGGGGGGTCCCTGCCGGACCTAACCAACCTCCACTACTCGGCGCCGCTGCCCGCCTCCCTGGATGCCGGCAACCCCCTCTTCGGCGGCATGAGCATGGGGAACAGCGTGGGCAATCTCCCTGCTGCTATGACTCACCTGGGCATCAGAAGCTCCTCTGGTAAGTGTCCCTGCCCCGGGGGACCCTGCCCGTGACCACTGGGGGCTTCCTCTCGGCCGGTGCCAGCCGGGCAGCCTGTGAGTGGGGCGTGGAGTGGGCACATCTCTGCTCTGGTAGCTCCTGAGCCCGCTGCCATGTTGCTCTGTGGCCCAGTGTCTGCTAGGCACGATGCATCGGGAGCGGCTCTGCTAAGCCTCCCTCTCTATCGTCTTCATCAGCCCCTGCATCCGGGGACTTGGAGAATAAGATTTGAGAGTCAAGAAATGAGTGTCCACTCTAGCCTGTGCTGGACGAACAGTGTTAGTGGCTCTTATTAACTATCACGTGATGATATGTAATCGTTACGGCCGTCTCTAGATCCCTCCAGTTGCCCATTGGATTTCAAAAGAGAACGTTTTGAATTTCAGAAAATTTACCGTGAATGTGATGGCAATACTTAGACTTAAATAGATGCGTATATTTAATAGAAATTACCACAGTTCAAAATAATTGGCTCAGATTTTCAGAAGTGCTAAAAGATGTGGCATGTGGCTGTATAAAAATGCTACCCGTTTTGTGACTTGGGTGTTTCTATCTATACTAATAAAAGGGTAATATGCTAATTAGACTGGGAGACCTTCCAGGCGTTCTTCTGGACAAAGACATGATGGCAGGGCCGAGGTCGAGGCGGTTAGAGGCCAAGAGGGGAGGACACACCGGTTTCGGCTGGATCAGGCCTGGGTGGGACGGCAGTTGTAGTTGTGTGTGATCAGGCCAGTGGGGGAGGGGAGCATTGGGGGTGATCAGGCCAGCGGTGGGGAACAGTTGGGGGTGAGCAGACCAGCAGGGGGGGCAGTTGGGGATGATCAGGCTCGTGGGGGTGGGGGAGGGGGCAGTTGGGGGTGAGCATGCTGCAGGCAGAGTAGTTAGGGGCAATCAGCATTCATCCATGGAGTGAAACAACTCTGTGCCAGGTGCCCAGGACCCAACAGGGCACAGGACAGTGCCCCTGGCTTCCTCCAACCTGTGCCCAGCTCCCAATGTCATGGAAATGCCTTCCCCAAACTCTCTGGCTCATGCTAAAACTTACTCCCCTCCCTCCAAAATAAAACTAAGCACCAGCAAAAGCTTCCTTTTCCCTGAATCGGAACAGGCTGTGATGAACAATTTTTTTGGAGACAGAAAAACAAAGAGAAAGGAGCCGAAGGGCAGGAGCCACAGAGGGTGTCGCTTCTAGGGAGTCCCTGGGTGCTCGGGATGTTTAAGCATACTCCCGGAAGCAGCAGAGGGTTCGAAGTGTGCCTGGGACGGAGGCCCACGGGGCTCTGAACTGGGTTTTGTGGCCCTGGCCCATGTTGCTCAGTGGATAGAGCGTCAGCCTGTGGACTGAAGGGTCCCAGGTTAGATTCTGGTCAAGGGCAGGTACCTCGGCTGCAGGCTCCTTCTAGGCCCAGGCCCTAGTCGGGCACATGCAGGAGGCAACCAAATGATGTGTTTCTCTCACACTGATGTCTCTGTCTTTCCCTCTCTTTTCCACCTTCTCTAAGAATCAGTGGGAAATGTCCTTGGGTGAGGATTAAGAAAATGAACAGAGTCTGTGGTCCAGCCCTGGCTCCTCTCTCTGGGCTGGAGCTGAGCATGCTGCACATTGGCCCCCATTGCCCACTCTCACCTGGTCCTGCCCCCCATCCTCACCCCCGTCTGTCACATGATCACCTTCCTCTCAAGAAAACCGTTCCTTGTAGCACCTTCCGTGCCACTGGCACATCTGACACGTGCCCAGTTGGAGTCTCCCAGAAGCTCCTCCACACACAGAATCCTCATCACATCGCAGGAAGTGATGTTCTCCTTAATCTTTAGGAAATGAGCGATTTGGCCCTAACTGGTGTGGCTCAGTGGATAGAGCGTCGGCCTGCGGACTCAAGGGTCCCAGGTTTGATTCCGATCAAGGGCGTGTACCTTGGTTGCAGGCATATACCCAGTAGTGGGTGTTCAGGAGGCAGCTGATCAATGTTTCTCTCTCATCGATGTTTCTAACTCTCTATTCCTCCTCCCTTTCTCTTTGTAAAAAAATCAATAAAATATATTTAAAAAAAGAAAATGAGCGATTTGGTCTGGAGTTCTGACCAGTAACTTGGGATGTGCTCTCTCCTAGGTCTCCAGAGCTCCCGGAGCAACCCCTCCATCCAGGCCACCCTCAACAAGACGGCGCTCTCCTCCTCCCTGAACTGCCACCCGCAGACACCGCCCAGCGCCTCTGCCCTGCACCCGTCCCTGCGCCTCTTTTCCCTCAGCAACCCGTCCCTCCCCACCACCACCCTGAGCGGCCCCTCCCGGCGCAGGCAGCCGCCCGTCAGCCCGCTCACGCTCTCTCCTGGCCCCGAGGCTCATCAGGGTTTCAGCAGACAGCTCTCCTCCACCAGCCCCATGAACCCCTACCCCGCCTCGCAGGTAAGGACCGCTTCAGCAAACAGACCGAAGACACAGGAATCTCTGTCCTTCCCTCTGTGATTTTGGATTGAGTCTGTTACACCCAGGGCTGCCCAGGAGGTCACTTATATGTGGAATCGGAGCGGAAATGGGAATAATTCAGAATGCATTGATGATTTCCCAAGAGCAGACCTTTGCTGATCATTGCTAAGCAAACATGGAGCAGTTTACAGGTGTTGTAACTCTCAAAGTCAGGGTTGGGGGAGAGTGGTAAGGTATAGAGGACCCAACCCAGGCATGCGAAGGGAAATAGGCATGGCAAGTCAATTATATCAATAGTTGGCTCTCTCAGTACTTTATTTATTTTTTAAAATATCTGTATTGATTTCAGAGAGAAAGAGAGAGGGAGGGAGAGATAGAGACATCAGTGATGAGAGAGAATCACGGATCAGCTGCCTCCTGCACATCCCACACTAGGGATCAAGCCCACAAGCAGACATGTGCTCTGAACGGGAATCAAACCGTGACCTCCTGGTTCAGAGGTCAATGCTCAGCCACTGAGCCATGCAGGCTAGGCAGCTCTGTACATACTTTAACCACAAAGAAAAGCCAGAGAAGGCCTTGAATATCTCCCTAAAGCAGTGGTCGGCAAACTCATTAGTCAACAGAGCCAAATACCAATAGTATAATGATTGAAATTTCTTTTGAAAGCCAATTTTTAAAAAAATATATTTTATTGATTTTTTTTTACAAAGAGGAAGGGAGAGGGATAGGGAGCTAGAAACATCGATGAGAGAGAACACTGATCAGTTGCTTCCTGCACACCCCCCACTGGGGATGTGCCTGCAACCCAGATACTTGCCCTTGACCGGAATCGAACCTGGGACCTTTCAGTCCGCAGACTGAGGCTCCATCCATTGAGCCAAACTGGTTTCGACAAGAAACAGGACTTTCGTTGCTCAGGAAATAGTAGGTGTAATAAGGACCATGTCGCCATGAACCTGTTCCAGAACCTCATGTTCTCACTTGCTGACTGTTTATTCTAAGCTCTGAGGTGGTTCTCCTTACCAGAATCATCACTGAATATATTTTTGACCTGTTGGCCACTCCCTAAATACATTATAACATCATTCGCTAACCACTTCTCCAAAAATGAGTAATGATTTAGCGAGGGGGAGTGGACCGAACACAGTAGAAGGATTGGCAACCCAGTGATTAGTCATTCTTCACCAATTTCCAGCTACGCACAGGATCTTGATTAAATGAGTAATCCCTTTGGGGAGAGGGCATTTCCTAATTGTTTTTTAATGGTTATTTTTAGGTTATTAATTTTATTTTGCAAAGCTATTCAACAGGCTATAAAAAAATCTTACTCAGGCCGAAACTGGTTTGGCTCAGTGGATAGAGCGTCGGCCTGAGGACTGAAAGGTCCCAGGTTCGATTCCGGTCAAAGGCATGTGTACCTTGGTTGCGGGCACATCCCCAGTCGGGGGTGTGCAGGAGGCAGCTGATCAATGTTTCTCTCCCATCGATGTTTCTAGTTCTCTATCCCTCTCCCTTTCTCTCTGTAAAAAATCAATAAAATATATATTTTTAAAAAATCTTACTCAGGCTTCCTACACACATTTTAAGGAGACTATATGGATAGAGAGCATCATTCTTTTTCAGATGTTTCCATTTTTAAATTCGCTTTATATTTAGGTGTTGGTTTTTTTTAATCAATGTTGTTCGTGCTTACAATTAAAAGTGAAATGGTTCTAAGGGACTTGTTCTGAAGGTAGAGTTCTCCCTTCCCCCTTCCCCCCAAATAGTTGTCGATCCCTGGAGATGATCACTTTCAATCACTTTAGCTCATCTCTTTGGTGTAGCCACATTATTTCAAGCTAATTTTGCCGTACAGTGTTAGTGTTAGGTGTTATCTAGTGACATTCAATCACGGAAGATTAGTGCTTTGTTCTCCTTCAGCGCTCCCAGTCCTCCCACATACGGACACGCACATTCCTCCTCCTCCTCCTCCTCCTCCTCCTCCTCCTCCTCCTCCTCCAGATCGTAGTTTATTATGGTTTTGATTAGAGCAGTACTTAGGGCGTAACGTTGCTTTTTTTCTGCTTTTTTTTTAAAAATATATTTTATTGATTTTTTTACAGAGAGGAAGAGAGAGGGATAGAGAGTTAGAAACATCGATCAGCTGCCTCCTGCACACCCCTTACTGGGGATGTGCCTGCAACCAAGGTACATGCCCTTGACTGGAATCAAACCTGGGACCCTTCAGTCCACAGGCCGACGCTCTATCCACTGAGCCACACCAGTAAGGGCAGTGTGTAAAGTTTCATAGTTATAATAACATAGTTTGAGTTTACCATACAGCACACCATGACATAACAAAGTACCATTTTTTTCCCTCCTCGGTTTTAATAAATATCTTACTTTGCTAGTTTGGTTCTACGTATATATTACTAATCCAATCCCAAATGCTTGGAATTGAGTAGGTCTTTTCTTAATACAGCTAAAAACAAATCCTCCAGTTGGTGTTGCTCAATGGTTGAGTATCAACCTATGAACCAGGAGGTCAGGGTTCGATTCCTGGTCAGGGCAGATGCCCCGGTTGTGGGCTCTATCCCCATTGGGGGGCGTGCAAGAGTCAGCCGATCAGTGATTCTTTCTCATTGTTGATATCTCTATCTCCCTCTGCTTTCTTCTCTGAAATAAAAATATATATATATTTTTTTAAATTTAAAAATTTTAGTAGCTTTACAAAATTTTAGTAGCTTTACAAAATAGAGTACATGGTCATTGAATGGGAAATGCTTTGCGGGAGATGAGATGCGAGGTACTCTTTGAAGGAGCAGAACTAGCTTCTCCTCCAGCTCAGAAGGCCCTGGAGAAGGCCTCAGGTCTCCCCTCACCGGGCCATCCCCTCCTCTTAAAGGACCAGACAGCGCTCGGAAGCTCCGCTGCTCAGTGCCTTTGTTTTTCAGATGGTGTCCTCTGACGGGAGCCCGCTCTCCTTCCTGCCCACAGAGGCTCAAGCTCAAGTGTCCCCGCCTCCCCCGTACCCCAGGCCCCAGGAGCTCCCCCAGCCTCTCCTGCAGCAGCCCCACGCCCAGGAGCCCCCTGCTCAGCAGCCTCAGGCGGCCCCGTCCCTGCCACAGCCGGACTTCCAGCTCCTCACGGCCCAGGTGAGTCCTGGGAGCGCTGGGTGGGCCGGAGGAAAGGCTTATATCGATATTCCGCCCTGGCTTCCAACTAAGCGCCCCTCCTCGTTCCCCGAAGGGCTCGTCTCTGACCAGCTTCTTCCCGGATGTGAGCTTTGACCAGCAGTCCATGCGGCCCAGCCCAGCTTTCACCCAGCAGGTGAGTGATCGCCTGGGGGCCTGCCTCTTCTCAGAGCCAGAACTGCTCCGTGTGTGGGACCCACACCAGGCGGACGAGGCATGCGCCGTCTCTGATTCAGATGTGCTTGGATCTCCCCGAGCCCCGAAAAGGCCCTGTGTGAACAGCGATGGAGACTCGTGGTGGCTCTCTAGTCGGAACTGGAGCATCGTTCATCCTGGCCGGGCCCACAGCAGCCACTGACCCGTCACGTGTGGAGACAGAGACACAGAGAGGGGCTTAGCCTGAGGCCGCATTGCTGAGCCCGGCACAGTGTCTGGGTGGCCTCCCCGGGGAGTTTGGTGGGGACAGTCCTTCTCTGGAAAGTTCTAGTCGGCCATTTGCTTTTGCTTTGCAATCTGTTCGTAACAATGCCTTTTGTGAGAGGAAGAAGCATCAGTGATGAGAGGGAATCATGGATCCGCTGCCTCTTATACTCCCCCCTACTGGGGATCGAGCCCACAACCCGGGCATGTGCCCTGATGGGTAATCAAACCGTGATCTCCTGGTTCATAGGTCGACGCTGAGCCATGCCGCTGGGCACACTGACCATTTTTAATATCCCTAGGGTTGATTTTTTTTTAAATATATGTTTTATTGATTTTTTACAGAGAGGAAGGGCGAGGGATAGAGAGTTAGAAACATCGATGAGAGAGAGACGTCAATCAGCTGCCTCCTGCACACTCCCTACTGGGGATGTGCCCGCAACCAAGGTACATGCCCTTGACCGGGATCAAACCCGGGACCTTTCAGTCTGCAGCCTGACGCTCTATCCACTGAGCAACACCGGTTTCAGATATATCCCTAGGTTTTAGACTGTTTAGTAAGTGTGGGCTGGAGTGAGGACAGAAGGAGCACTTTCCAGCACTTACCAACAGTGACATAAAGACAGACAGGTTTCCTGCAGAGGTGTGGGAAAGCCTCGTGGCAAGAACCCATAGGCTGCCTGGAGAAGCCGTGTTAATCTCATGGTCAGTGTCTCTCCGAGAAATGATGGAAATGCCCACTTTTGAGAGATTTTAAAACTAGTTTGAGCCGAAACCGGTTTGGCTCAGTGGATAGAGCATCGGCCTGCGGACTGAAAGGTCCCGGGTTCGATTCCGGTCAAGGGCATGTGCCTTGGTTGCGGGCACATCCCCGGTAGGGGCTGTGCAGGAGGCAGCTGATCGATGTTTCTCTCTCATTGATGTTTCTAACTCTCTATCCCTCTCTCTTCCTCTCTGTAAAAAATCAATAAAATATATTAAAATTAAAAAATAAAAAATAAAAATAGTTTGAAAACTTAATTTCTGGGAAGGCACCTTGGTTCTGGCCTGTCTTCTTAGCTGTTTTCTCTTAGCGAGGGCCTCCCCTGACTCATCCCTTCGGTTGAGAAGAAAGGGCTTCTGTTTTCTCATTTTTTTTCTGGAAACCAAAGAAGAAAGGTACCTGTTGGCCACATCAGCTCCCTGGGGAACCTTGACAGGGCTCCCGCAGATGGCAGCTGCCCCGAGCTCAGTGTGACCAAGGAGGGGCAGGGGGCAGAGCCCAGAGGGCACAGAAGCCACAGTGTAGTGTCTCCTGGGATGGCTTGCAGTGTTTCCCAAACTTCAGACATATGTGTACCCCTTCTATAATTTTCTTAACGCTGAGTACCCCTCGTACTCATGAGAACGTAGAATGAGGCGCAGCTAAGCACGGTGCAGTGCATATCCCCACCAAACTCCGCTGTAATGCGTACCCCCACCAAACTCTTCCCGTACCCCTGGGGGTACGCGTACCACACTTTGGGAAACACTGGCTTAGGTGGCCATGCTGTGCGTGGATGGGGACAGGTCCCCACTGTGGGCTTCAGGGGCCTGCCCCACACCAGCCCCCGCCTGAATGGCCACTGTCACGACGGCCATTCCCTCAGACCCCACAGGGAAGGGACCCCGTCTTGTTGCCCCGGGAGCCATTGCGTTACTCACCCCTCGGCTTAGGGGGTCATTCCTCACATTGTGAACTTTGATCTTCCAGGTCCCCCTGGTGCAGCACGGCCCCCAGGAGCCACAGGACGCGTTTCATTTGAGACCAAACGTGTATTCCAACTGCGGGAATTTCCCCAACGCCCTCCTGTCAGGTGAGACCAAACGTGTATTCCAACTGCGGGAATTTCCCCAACGCCCTCCTGTCCCAACACAGCAAAATCACCCGCAGCTGCCTCGCAGCTGTGATTTTGCTGTGTTGGGACAGATGCCATTGCAAGGTCGTGTAAATGACAACAACATTAGATAAAGCAAAACGGGCAAATCCCGGCTTTTTCTATGTGAGTTGCAGGTGTCCAGCCCAGAGACTGAGGCAGTGAGTCTTTTCTGAGATACTTAGTTTTCAGTGATTGACATCTGTGCATATGGACAAAGCCTGCAAAACTGGGAGTTGTGTGCCCTGGCCGGTGTGGCTCAGTGGATAGAGCGTCGGCCTGCGGACCAAAGGGTCCCGGATTCAATTCCGGTCAAGGGCACAGACCTCAGTTGCAGGCTTCTCCCCAGCCTGGACCCTGGTTGGGACTCGTGCAGGAGGCAACCAATCGATGTGTTTCTCTCACGTTGATATCTCTGTCTTTCTCTCTGCCTTTCACTCTCCTTAAAAATCAATGGAAAAATATCCTCGAGTGAGGATTAAAAACACACACCAACAAACAAAAAAATAAAGAGTAGCCACCTTTGCCCTGGCCGGTTTGGCTCAACGGATAGAATGTCGGCCTGCGGACTCAAGGGTCCCGGGTTCGATTCCGGTCAAGGATATGTATCTTGGTTGTGAACACATCCCCGGTAGGGGGTGTGCAGGAGGCAGCTGATTGATGTTTCTAACTCTCATCAATGTTTCTAACTCTCTCTACCTCTCCCTTCCTCTCTGTAAAAAATCAATAAAATATATATATACATATATATACATACATATATTTTTTTTTTTTTAATTTTTTTTTTTAATAGCCACCTTAAAAAAAAAGGGGGAGGCGGGGCGTTGCAGAACTAACTGGGAAGGGCCTAGATTCCAGAACAAACTGTAGGCCTGTAAGGGGCTGGGACACGGCAATCTCTGTCCTTCCTGGCTGGGAAGATGACAAGGGTAGCGGTTTGGGGATGTCATCAGTTTGTTGCCCGCACATCTCCTAATCTGCCCTGTTGTTCCCTCTTGCTCTTTCTTCCAGAAGACGCAAGCTCTGGCCTGTTTCGAGACCTGGGCGGCGAGCTGGAGGGCATGCCCGAGGTCAGTCTGAACATGGACGCCGCATTCCCGCTGGAAGAAGAGCTTCAGATCGAGCCCCTGAGCCTGGACGGACTCAACATGCTCAGTGACTCCAGCATGGGCCTGCTCGACCCCTCCGTCGAAGAGACGTTTCGAGCCGACCGACTGTGACCAGAAGGGACCGGGGCGGAATGATTTATACCTGAACAGCTAACGTGAAACGGAACAGGATGGAGCCCGCGACACCCCCGGCTTTGGTTACCCCGGGCTTCTGGCATGGAAAGAACCAATTGCACGGCTCCCAGCTTTCTGATGAGGTCCCACCTCATCCCAGCGACTCTTCCTGGACCCCAGAGCGAGGCCCCGCCTCTCGGGCCTGCGGTGCAGGCTCATTCGGAACTTCCAGCGAGCTGGTCATCACCGTGACCCATCACCCAGCTGGTCAGCTTGTGTGGCTCAGTGGATAGAGCATTGGCCTGCAAACCAAAGGGTCCCAGGTTCGATTCCGGTCAAGGGCACGTACTTCCGTCATAGGCGGAGGCCCCAGGAGCACCATGCAGTGCTCAGACCACTGACCCACGTCAGCGCTGAGGAAGGACCGGCTGGGGCGGCGGCAGGTAGGGGCCCCAGGCCTCCGAGAGTTGGCTCAGCCTCGAGCAACGGTACCACAGCCCCAGACGCCTTCTCTGACCCGGCCATGACGGCCGGACCCCTGCCCGCTGGCGGCAGGGCTATTCAGGGCAGAATCGAGAGCCACAGCTCTCAGATGCCTTAATTCTAATATGAAGAAGAATTTGCGCCAAGAGCAGACTCGAGTTGAGCAAGCTGATTGGTAGTTTGTTCCCTTCCCACGTACAATCTCCTTTCTGCTGCTTCAGTTCGCCTTTTCCCGCGGACGAGAGGAAAAGGAAGACATCACTGAAGGAAATGTCCCTGGTGGTGGATGAGCCTGAACGAAGGAGCAGTGCTTCTCAGGGATTAGAAGAAAGAAGGGGGCCTGCAGGTGTCTCACAGACACGTGACCTCCTTTCGTCAAGCTCTGGACCAGCTCCCGGGGTGCAGGCCTCTGCGCGCACACCATCTGGAGGGAGCGGCTGAGGTCTGGCGCAGGCGCAGCCGGCAGCTGAGCAGCAGCAGAGCGAAGATCTTGTCTGTGGACTGGGAATGTTCCAGTAACCCCACTGGACCCTCCGCTCCCTGGGGGCAGCAGGGGCTGTGCCTTAGTCACCATGAATTCTCAGTACCCACAAGTGCCTGGCACTGAGCAGGTGCTGTGTAACTGATTGTGTGAGTGAGTGAATGAATGAATGAATAACTGCAGGAATGAATGCATCTGCCTGCTGTCAGTCAGTCTAATCTCTCCTGTCCCTGTTCCTCGCCAAATCTTCTCAGCTTTCGCTTTTCGGACACTTGTGCCTGTGGTTGAGTCACGCGTGCACTTTAATATGCTTTTAACACTAGGCGAGCAGACGCACCGTTAGACGGGGCCCATCCTCGAGGCTGAGCTCCGAGCAGGTAGGTGCAGAGCGCCTTCGGAGCGCACCCACGTGGCCAGGCGAGCTGAGGCCGCCCAGTGCTGGGCCCCAGGGGTCCGGCAGGCCTCCCCTCAGAAGTCCTTCCCTCTCAGATCCATGGTTGGCTCTGAATTGCTTCAAAATTGAGCTTCAGTCTTGGGAGTTGAAGGACTTCGGTAGTAAAAGGAAGGCCCGTTTCATCAAACCGTCGTTAGTCATTGGTACCGGAGCATAAAAGTACTCCCAGGTTCCAGTTTCTGCTCACTTAGGCTGGGCCGGCCCAACCAGAAACCTGGTGGCTGGGTGTGAAGGCAGCAGAGGGGACAGGGCCTCCTGAGCGCCCCTGGGGAGGAGTCTGGGCAGGGAGACCAGGCCGAGTGGACAGGCACTGAAGGAGAGGTGAGAGATGCCGGACCTTTGCCTAAACAGCCATTGCCCGTCCAGAAATGCCAGGCGTGCCCTCCCTGAGGGTCATGAGGCTGTTCCAGCCCCAAGCAGCGCAGCTGTGTCTGCAGGCTGGCACACTCTGTGCCTCCCGGCAGGAGGGGCCTGTCCCAGGGTCCCGGCCACTGACCTCTGCCCTCCGGCCTTTCCAGCAGCCCTGGGGGTGAGCAGCTCCTCTTCCCTGTGAACCCAAGTCAGCCCGCTTCACACCAGCCCCCAGTTCCTGGTGAATCAGGAGTTCACACCAGAGTCCTTGCCGAGGGCTGGCTCAGGAAGGAGCAGTGGCCCTCCCCTCCCCAGCTTTATTCCCAGTTGAATGCCCAGATCCCTGAAAAGATCTGAGAGGGGTCTGGGGAGAGGCTGGTAAAGCAAAGGTCCTTTTCTCGTGAGGGTGCCCAGCACCCCAGATGCCCAGAGAAGCCAGCTCCCGGCTGCCTTCCCTGTGCCCAAGCCCCCAACACCTGGTCTGGCCTTTCAGACAGAACAGTTCTGATGTCACAAGAGGTTTTTATTAAGAGTGGGGGTCCCAGCATAATTCCCTCTTTGCACAGTGCCTTACCCACGGGGGTCATCAGTGTCGGGGTCCCAGCTCTCTCTGTCCACGAGGCAGCCCCGCCTTACAGCTGGGGACCCCGAGACCTGCGTGATGACACGTGCTGCCCCAGGGGCTTCCGGGAAAAGCGGCTGTTTGGGGGGAGTGTAATCATGACAATAAGGCTCAGCACTGAATTGAATTTGTCCTTAGGTCCATCAGTCCGATCTTTTCCTGTGGAAAGGTTTTGGGCATTATACACCCCCCTTTGCTTAGATGGTGGCAAAGACAAGCACGGCAGGTGGTCGCTCTGACCTTCAGCGGGTAAGTGCCCTCACTGTGCCTTTAAGACAAGCCAGGCGCCATCCTCGGCCTCCGACAGGGCTGCATCCTAGATATTTTTCAATATTTAGTTTTGTTACAAGAAATGGATGCCTGTACTATCACTTGCTAGGCGTTAAACAGCATAGAACTAAAGCCTTCTCTTTCCATCTTTCCTCTCTGTACGGTTGTGGTTTTCAGGACATAAAGTGTTCGGGGAACATTTTCTTGATCATGTCAAGATGAACACGAATTCTCCTCTGTCCTGTTTCCTTCCTCCCAAGTCTACTGTACACCCCCTGAGCTGAACTGTTTGTTGTGTATTCCCGCCCATTTGCATATCTGAAGACATTTCCGGTTCTGACTCTCTTGGGCTCTTCTGATTGATGCGCAGATGGTTCTGAGCACGTGTTCATCGCTCGTGATGGAACCATCCCAGCAAGAATCAAGACTCCTCCCTGCCGGTGTCCTAACTCCCAGGTCCCCTGTCAAACCATATTTAAAGATCGGACTTTGTATAAAGTAGCTTCCGAGTTTTATAATGCATCATTTTACATCTTTCATAATTAAAAGCACAATGAGGTTGTACCTGCACTTAGCGTGTTCTTCGGCCTTGAACGTGATGGGGTGGGGAAAGTCTTCGTCTTCGCCACCTCCGGTGCAGCGCAGCCTGCGGTTAGGGATTTGTGGTCCTGTGGTCCTTGGTTTGATTGTCAGGTCCTGCACAGACCTGCTTGTCCTGCGTCCCCTCCTGAGAGAAGCTCCGGGAGAAATAGGGCCCGTGGTTCCTTGGAAGCTGTGAGTATCAGAACTGAGGCTCGTGACGGCGCCTCAGTGTCCCACCTCCCTCTGCCGGCACCCCTTCTGAGCCCAGTCCTGCCCTCATCTAACGCCCCCCCTTGGCAGCGTGGCTCAGCGGTTGACCATCAACCTATGAACCAGGAGGTCACGATTCAAATCCCGGTCAAGGCACATATCCAGGTTACAGGCTCAATCCATGCAGGAGGCAGCTGATCACTGATTCTCTCAGATCATTGATGCTTCTCTCTCTCCCGCACCCTTCTTTGAAGTCAATAAAAATACCCTATATAATAAAAGTCTAATATGCAAAGTATCCAGTCGTCCAGTCATTCAACCAATCAGAGTAATATGCTAATGATATGCTATGGTCATTCAGCTGCTCACTATGGCAGACAGTCAACCTGTCACTATGATGTGCACTAACCACCAGGGGGTAGACGCTCCAACTGGTAGGTTAGATTACTGCTGGGATTTGGCCATTGGGGGCTGAGTGAGATGGGCTGGACACACCCTGGAGCCCTCCCAATGTTCTTCACCAGCCCCGACCGTGCACCAGTGGGGTCCCTCGGCCTGGCCTGCACCCTCTCGCCATCTGGGACCCCTTGGGGAATGTTGGAGAGGTGTTTTCAGCCCAATCCCGCAGGCCAAGCCAAGGAACCCCACTGGTGCACGAATTCATGCACTGAGCCTCTAGTGTTTTTAATAAAATAAAACCGGTCCCCTGTAGAGGTTCAGCCAGGGATGCACCTTCCTTCATTGCTCCTCTTCATGGACTGGCCTTTAGTCCTGTCCCCACCTCCCCCAGGACTTTGGCTTTGTTTTTACCCCCTCCTCTCCCTATTCCCTGTGTCCGCACAGGGCTCACAGGCCTGGCCTACCCACAGCCTGAGAGGCCTCCTTCTCAGCCACACCCACAGCTTGTCACAAAGGTGACTGCTGAAATCTTATCCATAAATCCCATCTCTGGCCCTGACCGGTGTGGCTCAGTGGATAGAGCGTCGGCCTGCAGACTGAAGGGTCCCGGGTTCAATTCCGGTCAAGGGCACATACCTTGGTTGCGGGCACATCCCCAATGGGGGGTGTGCAGGAGGCAGCTGATGGATATTTCTGTCTCATCAATGTTTCTGGCTCTCTATCCCTCTCCCTCTCTGTAAAAAAAAATCAATAAAATATATTTTTTTAAAAAGAAGAAAAAGAAATCCCATCTCTGGCCTAACTTCCTGAGCCATCATTTTTACTTTGATCCACATAGACCCTGTTCTTTGACACACACACTGAGGATTCAATCCCCGTCCCTTCCTCTCCAGCTGCCCATTCTCTGCTGGCATCCCTTCCTTCCCAGGCCAGTGCACTGGGTCAGTGGCCTCCATGACACCCTTCCTGGCCTTTTCCTGTTGGAAATCCTGTGGAGAGAGACAGCCCCACACTGTCCACTGGCACGGTCCTCCCCTGACACCCAGGGGCACTCCAGACCACCCCTCGGGGCCCTCATTCTCTCCTCATTTTCAGAAATTCCCAGGATCAATTATTATAAGTACTAGAGACCCAGTACATGAAATTCGTGCATGCCCGGGATGGGTGTCCCTCAGCCCAGCCTGCACCCTCTCCAATCTAGGACCCCTCAAGGGATGTCTGACTGCCCGTTTAGGATCTGCCCATAGGATCGGGCCCAAACGGGCAGTTGGACATCCCTTTCACAATCCAGGACTGCCGGCTCCCAAGTGCTCGCCTACCTGCCTTCCTGATTGCCCCTAACCACTTCTGCCTGCCAGCCTAATCACCCCCTAACCACTCCCCTGCAAGCCTGATTGATGCCTAACTGCTCCCCTGCCAGCCTGATTGCCCCTAATTGACCTC